TGTTCTCCAGGCAGGGAAGTGGTTCTTCCTTCACCAGACTGACGGCTCTCTGCTCCTGTTCCAGACTGAGAGGCCCACACCAGTCACTCCAACAAATGAAAGCATCTACCAACGAACTCGTAAGCACACTGGGTATTTACACCGAAGACCTGACTGAAAAAACGCGGCAGGCTCTCAGACAAGCTAAAACCATCCCACGAAGGTAAGTGTGGCCAGCACTTTCCCGGTCCTACTGGTAGACTGGAAAGAAAGGCCCTTTCCTTGAAGGCTGACGTTCTGTGTGCAACAGGGAAGGGACGGGGGCAGCAGGGGAGAGGGAGCAGGCCACGCCCTCAGCTGGCCGCCACCACGGAAGGCCCCGCGGGAGGAACAGCGATGTGGACAAGCCTGTCCCTGTGCTCTCCACTACGTTGTGATTGTACTATGCTAGGTACAGGTAAACCACTCTTCACTTCTCTTCCTTCTGCCTCAAGATCTGGCTATTCCTCGCAATAGATTAGAAAAAATACTCTTTTTCCAGCTAATCCGAAGCCTCCTATGTGGCAAGGCGACAGGCAGCCCCAGCCTGCTGCCCCGCCCGTTTGTGCGCACGACCTGGTGAGTCTGGGTTCGGAGCTGCGGGAGAAAGACACTTCGGCATCGGGGTTTTTTTTACATATGGCCTTGTTTTTTCCCAAGTATAAAATGAATTTGGTGACTTGAAATTGAGTCCAAAAGGAAAGCAAAAACACAAACCCACGAATGAAGTGCAATCCACCACTCCTCAAATTTATGACATTTAACACCCCCCCCCCCCAACTACCTGCTGGGGCGGGGGTGGGAGGGAAGCTTCCATGGTTTTCTTTACCATGATCTTCATGGTTCTCAACACTGGTCTGTGTTTGAACGACTATTTAGTTTCCAAAACAATGAGCAAAACTTCTTAATTAGCGTTTTTCTTCCAATATTGCTAAATTTTTAGAAGTGGTGGCAACACAATTTTTAAAAAGCTCTACCTTAGGGATAACTGGGGAGCCCCAGAGCAATCTGAAATCCCCTTTCTAGCCCTGGCCCGAGGATGTGATGCAGTTTAAAGAATTTTCCTGATTCTCACAAGTTAATCCGAAGTTAAGGCTCAACTTTCAGTCGTTTTATGGGTGAACGTTTTGAATCGTGAAGAACGGACAGATTTGGGGTGGGGGGCAGGAAATGATGATGGGCTCAGGATAGAAACTGCAGCTGACACGGGAATTCGGCTTTAGGAAAGTTAAAGCGATCTTGTTTTGCGGAAGAAGTTTGCTGACTATCCCCTTCCAGACAGGAGCGCTACCTGCAGGCTGCAGTGCTCTGGGCTGGGTTTCGTCACTCTGACGTCACATCTCCTCAGGCCCCCAGCGATGCTACAGCAACAGGCACTCGGCCGAGAGACAGTCTTTGATGCTCCTGGAAAACCCAACTACAGGACCCACCAAAGAAATCAGCAGTTCCAACTGCAGTCCCCTTTGAGCCGGAGGCGGCGGGAGGAAAGGCAGGAAATCAACACAGGTATAAGACAGCTTGATTACGGCTCGTTCATACACGGGAGTCTACGCGGAGGTTCCTTTCTCCAGAACACTGTGTGCGGGGATGGATGAGTGGGTGGCCGGGGGGGTGCGGAGTCCACCAGGCAGGCTCCCCGGGCCGGAATGGCGCCTCCAGGTCCCAGGGAGCAGGGGAGAGGATGGGGGCCGAAGGAGACGAGTTCCCTCGCAGCTGCGGCTGCCGGGGCGAGGGGCGCAGTCACACGGCCGCCTTGTGCTTCCCGCCGCAGCACCTGCACATCACTCCGCAGTGGTAGCAGGCCCGCAGGGGCAGGTAACAGCACATACAGGGGGCCAAGAAAGACAAGGCAATAAGAGCCATCCACCGGAGGCAAAACTTCTCGTCGCTAGTGTCGCACGAGCACGGGTCTGTATAGTCGCCCTCGGGGTCCGACATACAGTGATAGAGCATGCTGTCCGCACACCACATACAGCTCACCCGGCGGATGCAAGTTCTCACGGAGTCGGGCGCGTCCTGGCAGTGGCCCCTCCGGTTCTCCTCGTGGTTGAACATGTCCCTGCAGTACTCGCACCGGGAGCGCTCGCCGTCCTCCTTCCGCCGCCGGGACTTGTTCCGTGACGGCTGGGTCTTGATCACGCTGCCCCCGCGCCCTTTGGGGTCCTCGCCGAGGCCAAAGTCTGAGGAGTCCACGTAGGGGTAGTTGTAGTCGTGCTTGGGAACCTCGCCCTTGGCGAAGCGCACGTAGGAGTCCGCGTCCTCCGAGGGGTCCAGGTGCTTGCCCCTGACGGGCGCGTGACGGTAGTCCTCGTAGCCCGTTATCCAGATCTTCTCCCGGGGGTTGATGCGCACGATCTCCTCGTCGTCGTCCGGGAAGCTCACCTGGCGGTAGGGCCTGGGCATCGGCTGCCCCGGGAGAAAAGAGACAGTATTTTAGAGCAGTGGCAACACCTGCCCCCCCCCATGGCCCCAAATCCAGTATGCACCTTTTCACCTTGACAAAGGCATTTCTTAAAGAAATGGGCCCATCCTGTATTTACTGAACACCTTGTGGGGGCAAAGATGTGTTACAAACTGTGAGTCTCAATCCTTTCCTGGGCCAGGAAATCAACGGAATGGGTCGAGAGCAGCTTTACACGCCCCCCCCCCCCCCGTTTTTGCTGGAGGACTACCACCTATACAGGAAAGTGTGCACACTGCAAGAACAGAGTCTGAATTTTCAGAAGCTGGACACACTCAGGTCAAGTAGTGGTGAGAAGCCTGCCGAGGACACCCCCCACCACTGCCCTTCCACTCACTGCCCACCCTGAGTTCTAACAGTTTACATTAGTTCTGCCAGGTTTTGTACAGTATGTTCCCTTTTGTAAGAGCAGGCTTCCCCCCCCCCCAGCCCCCAGTGAAACAGGCAAATTGTGGCACACACTGCACATTACACATTAAGTAAGCCCTTTGGTCACCACATAAAGTGTGTTTCTCACTGTGGATCATTTTCAAAAGAGGGACCAGAACTGTCAGGTTGACAAGAACCCAGTAATCGGGAAGGTAAGGTGCCCGGATAAGAAAGGGTGAGAATGCAGGCTCCAGAGGCCAGCTGCCTGGGTGTGAATCCTTCCGGGACCTCACAGACAGTGAGTGGCCCAGCTGGACTCTGGGCCCAGGCAGCTGGGCCCCACAGCCACCCCCTCCAGCCTTCAAACCTGAACTGCATCTCCCTTAGGGCAGAGACTTGGCTCTGTAGGTGGTCCTCTTCCAGTTCACAACGGGTCCGCACAGCCCAGAGTGGCAGGTGCTGAGTGAACTGTCACCGACTAGACACAGGTGAGCCTGCCTGGCATAGGATGATGTCTCAGTGGTGGGAGGGAATGAGATTTCACACCGTCGGAGTCCTTTGGGCATGAGGCTTTTTCAGGGGCAAGAACATGGCTCCCAGCAAACCCACTAGAGTTAAATCTGGGCTGTGCAATTTATTAGCAAACTGCTCAGCTTCAGACTCAGTTTCCCTGACTGCCAAACTGTGTAGGGCTGTTGTGAGAATGAAGACGTCAGGGCCACATCAGCACTGAGCCTGTCACACAGGACATGGCTGATACCTGCTGCCACTGTCACCATTAGAACAGTGGCAGCACCTCTAAAGGGCAATTAGATTTACCCACTGTGCTCCTGCCCACCAGACTGTGAGCAGGGCCCAGGTGGCACATGCCTTGCTGTAATTCCTGTTAGAGCCTCGGCGTCAGTTTTCTGGACTTTGGAAAATCATCATCCTGTAGGATTTCAGAACAGATCTTGGGAGCAGATGCAGGCTTGCTAATTTTTTTTATTTTCAAAGTCAGTCAAAAAGTCACTTCCTATCTATTGCTACCATAATGTGATTGTAATAAAAAGATTTTAATGCCAAACTATTGGGAAGCATAAAATTAAATTATTTTTAAAAAGGGCCAGGTAAACACAGCTTTATGTTAACTGTGCTCCTTGTTTCTGTTTTCAAAGCAGACGAGGGGCCACATCGCACCCAAGGGCACCGGCCCATGCCCCACAGTTTGGGAACCTGCTCTGCAAAACAGCTGCTTGGTAAATACTGGTTGAATTATTGAGTTCCAGACTCCAGCTGCACGTCCCTGAGCAAGCCTGGGCCTGCAGCCAAGCTGCCAGGGTGTCCTCCAGGCTGAGTCGGGCTCTGCGCCCTCACGCCCAGTCGGGAGCCTTTGGAGAGAGGAACGCAGGCAGCAGCACAGACCTGCGTCTGAGTTTTGTTCCACCAGGGACTCTATCTTGCTAAGCCTTAGCTTCCTCAGCTATAAACTGGGGACGCTGTGGACCTGCCTTGCAGGGCAATCTGTGAGAATTAAATGAGATAAAGTACAAGGTGTCCCGCACACAGAGAACTCTAGGTAGGGGTGAGCTGCCACCGACGCCTTCGATATGGGTGGGGTGGTGCAAAGCAGCATGGAAGAGGCCTGGTCTCGGGGGGAGGAAGGGGCCAGCCCAGAGTCAGGAGTCACCTAACTTGATGACCTCAGAGGACCGAGGCTGCCACTCACCTGTTCGAGGTGATAGTGGTCCGTGGGGTATGGGTCGTGGAGGTGGCCCAGGGTGTAAATCCTCCGGTGCTCACAGGATGTGGGAGAGGAGATTGTCCGAGTGGGTTGTTCCCTCTTCTGAGAGGAATTAGAAGAACTGTCTGTAGCTGTCTGTTCAGAGGGAAGAAACCAAGAGTTAATTTGAAAAAACAAAAACCAAACCCACACACCAAACCCTAGCATGCCGTCTACCCCCACAGTGGCAGCTTGCCGGACTTCCCGAAAGCCTGACTTTGTCCTGGCTGCAGGAGGTGGGAGGACCCCTGGAGGGCAAGGCTGGCTCAGCGGGCAGAGAAATCCAGCCACAGAGCCTGGAAAGCTGGGTTTGTTTTCTCAGATGTGGGAACAGCGAGCAGACTTTGGGGAAGGGTTCGCGCACCGGGCCTCCCGCTGGTATACCCCAGTTTCATTCAGAATGGTCGACCCGCTTGCCGCTCGGTACGAATCAAACCCAAATGTCTGCATGTGGGGCTGGTCCCTGCCGGAGACTCGGGAGATGAGGCTCCTCAGGGTACCGTGTGTGCTGGCTTTCCAGGGAGAAATTTTGTAGGAAGAAGTCTTTGGGTTGGAGGAAAGCTTTGGGGTTCACTTTAAACTGGAAGCAAGATGGACGACGGCACAGAGGGATGGAGGCCCCCATCGGTGCAGGTGAGTGCAGAGCTGTTTTCCCAGTGGAGCCTACCTGATGGTGTCTTTGGAAGGTGATCAGATATTGGGATGGACTGTGGCCAGAGCACAGGGGCCCTGCTGCCTCCCAATACACTTACCAGCGAGGTGCTTCATGCTCCCACCTAAGGCCCAATGGAGGGGGCTACGGGGCCTCGGTGAGGTCACTCTGCACCACCATTCCCCACAAGCCACACGCTCGTAAAAGACTGTTAAATGCAGCTGGCAACCACCTTCAAAACCAGGCTTCCCCACACACCCTTTCACCTACATAGAGTAGGGGACCCTCCCCCAACACCAAAGAAATGAAAAGATTTTCTAGGTGCCCTATCTCAGACCAAAATCTAGGAACTCCTTCCTCCTCACTTAGATTCCCCCTTGTCTCATTTGCTTATTTATCTTTTAATTTCACTTGTCTTTTGCTAGTGTCGTACAGCCTTTTAGGGGCAAAGCAAAACAGACAGACTTAGAAAAGTTATTTTTTACTTCCCCTTCCCCATTTGTAAAGTAATAAATGCTCAGAAAAGTGGGACTGCGGGTAACTAGGAAAAAGAAGACTCGTTTCTATTCTGCAGCACAACTGCCGTGAATGTTTTGAAGTGGGTGGATATGTGCAGCACCCCACGGGGACCGAACCTTCCTGGACTTTTGATTGGTGTGGTCTGAGCGACGCCAGGCTGATGCCTGTTCCCAACCCCTCAGGCCACAGTGGCTAACATACATGCAGACATGTGGTCCTCTCAGGCAATATGAAAAGCTTTTGGCGGAGAGGTCAGAAAAAATGCTGTCAATTATGTCAAGATCTAAGAGTCCATAGCCTGAAATGGTGGTGAGGGGACAGGGAAAGTGCCCTCTGAGCTTCTGAGTCCAGCCAAGCCTGAGTCCTGATCCACTCTGCAGTAACTTCAGCGGACGTGCTGGGTTCACCGAGTGGGTGCACTTTTCCTCACCCCCGATCCCTGCTCCGAGGCAGCAGCTTCACCCGTGTCACGCCTCTGACCCCCGCTCCTCTCCACCACAGGTAGAGAGGAACTGGGCGCGCAGCCTGCCACCTCCCTCCTCTGCCTCTCAAGAGCCACCCGCCGGCAAAGAGCACATGCTGGTGGCCACTCCTGGGCCTGAGTGGCCCACTGCGGGAAGGCTGCAGAGATCCCGCATCCCGTGCCTGGTGGGGCGAGTCCCGAGACATCTACTTCCCCTGGGCGGTAAGCCAGGACCACAAAGGGCCTGGTAGCTCCCCCACCCCTCAAACTGATTCCAAACTCAGGTAAGAATTACTATTCAATCCCAGTGACTGAAAGAGACCAAGCTGATACACAAGAAGGTTGACTTTCTTCCAAACTCTGCCTGTCCTCCAACTCTCACCGCCTTTAACACGTGAATTGCTGTCGATCAGAACTCTTGACGGTCTCCTGTCATGTGAGTGTGTCTGATGTGCCAGGCCCTGGCCACCTGTGGGCGTGGTCCCAGGTAAGTAGTAGTCCCCACGTCACACACAGGAAAATGGAGACTCGGAGTGAGGAAGGACCCTGCTGACTGTGGTGGGCAGCCTCTGACCCCCAAACCCACAGCGCTCCACATGGCAGTTTCTCAAGCTCAGGTGGGCCCATTCCAATGCCTACTCTGGAAGGTGTTGTGTTCATCTCAACAAAAGTACAACTTCTCCAAGTAGGAAGGTGCAGCCTGCTTGATGCAAACCCAGGACATAAGGGGATGGCACGTGCAACATAAAGGTTTCCAAAGATCTCAACAAATACTTCCTGAATGAGCAGATAAGGAAGGCCCTTCAGCATGATTCAAATCTCAAAGGTTAAATTCTTAACCAACACCCACGAGACAGTTATCTCTCTGAGGTTAGAAGCCACCCTTGTATTGAACACGGTAATATGCACCAGTGTTTAGTGTTCAGAAAACAGCCAACACATCACAGTCACCTGTTAGTCAGCTGTTTCCCTGACGCACCCCACGTCCAGGTGACACTGTGTAGAAAGTCATTCTGAGAAATGAGGCACACCCAGCTTTCCTAGTGTGCACGAGCTGATCAGACACACCCCCCGTCCGACCTCCCTAGCCCCCAACAGCACATTCTCACCAAACAGAGTCAAGTGCAAAGCTTCCCGACTGTGGGCCTGATAAAGCCGTTCAGTATCTCCGAACCTAAGGACAGAGTTGTGCAAAGGGGCAGGAATGCCCACAGTTCACCGCCTCCCACAGCCTTCCCCGCCAAACTACTCTGCAGTGGTGTGGACTCTGCAAGGCTTACTTCACATCTGCACTATCGGACAGATCTTGCAAAGTGGTGAGTGTGACCTACAAACGAGAGGGATGTACTATCGGGGCATCTCTGAGAACAGTGAGGGGAAATACCTCCTACCCGCACGCACCTCTGACCTCACTACGCTCGAGGTTCCCACACACGGCTGGAGGGAAGCAGCCACTAGGTTGAGCGCACACACAGTCACGAGCCGGTGTCTTGAGCATCACTCTGCTGTTTGTGTGCACACGCTCACGACACCTCCCAATCTGACACCTTCACCTTGGAAAGCCTCCAGCTGTGTTTTGAACTCGCCTTGGTCTCCAGTGGTGTCTCTGAACAGTTGTGGGCTTGAACTACAGAAGAACAAAAGCAAAGGTGCTTTGGGGACCTCAGCTTCCTAAAAGGGGAGGCTTCAGCAACAGGCTTCCCCTGAATTGGACATAGTCATCACAGCGAGCCTTCAATGCCGCCTGCTGGGGACAGCAAGGCCGTGGGCACTACTATTTTACTTAGAAACTTTGCATCCAGATTTGTGGGTGAGGTTCTGCACCTTACCTGCCCTCGCCCCGTTCAGCAGCAGGGCCAGTCTGGCCCAGTCGGCTGAGCTGGAGAGCTTTGTCTTTCTCTGCTTTGGAACAGTATCTGTAACACGGGGGCTAGGTTTCTTAACCACCTAAGTTTGGTCCCTTTTTAAGAGGCAGACCTTTGACTACATTTTTAATCTTCCTATGGTTGCTGTAAAAATTCACATATTTTGAGTAATTAACATGCTTTGTGAGACCTGCTTCTGAAGCCCTCCCACAAGGCAGTGGGGCCGAGACAAGAGCTTGACAAGGAAGAGCAGAGAACGAACAGCAGGGAGAGAAAGAAAGGGAAGGAGAGGAAGCAAGAGTCGAGAGCACTGAGGTGAACGGGTGGGCACTGCCAACCTTGAAAACACAAAACAGAGGCACGACCAGCCCAACCGAACCCACTGTGGCTGTACAAACACCCACCCCTTCCCCGGAGGGTGTCTGGGTTCGGGCTGGGTGCTCTGAGGGTTCGGACGCAGAAGGTGACACACACGGGCAGGGTAAGGCCGGGTGGCTTCCCTGAGGAGGGGCGTTCTGGATGGGTGGGCAACCCGGACCAGGGTGGGAAGAGAGGCTCAGATTTATCAGTGAACAGCAGACAAACTTGTTTAAATCAGTAAGCTTCCAGTGTCTGGACTCTGCAGACACTAAGTTGTACTTACTTTGAGGATGCAAGTATTTCCTAGAATTCTCCAGAATTTAATTTTAACAAATGAGAGGAAAACCATGGAGCTTCTAAAGTTGATAAATTCTCCTTTTGAATAACTGACTTTAATGTTATGATATGTTGACAATCAGCCAAAATCTGAAGCATGAAAGACACTGGGTGGAGGCCGCCTGCTCCCCCAAGGTCAGCGCTGCCTGGTGGGGTGGGAAATGGTCGGCATGGAGAAAGGAGACCGCAGGATCAGTGACTAATGCTAACGCTGTGGCTGGCGCCCTCTTTGTGTACAGGCCTATTTTATATGATTTCTTCCTCGTGGACACTTGGCTATTCCCCCCGACCTGCAGAGGGCCCACCTGGAAGTGGTTAAAGAAGCACACGCCTCTGTCCACCTGGGCTGGGCCCGGGAATGAGCTGCCTTCACCTGGAAGGCTAAACTCTTTGACCAAGGGAAGCTCAGGGAGGGCGGGAAAGGACCAAGAGGCTAGACCAGCCGAGGGGGCCATCGGCTGAAATGAAGTTACCTATCCTGGGACAGAGCCTTGGCTGCAGACGAAGGGCTTTTTGGGGCATTCAAGGTGGGTCAGACCACACATTTCAAAGTCAAACAAGTGTTTTTAGAACCACGTGCATCCCTTCAACTGCCCTGGGTTTTCCTGCTAAATCTGTTTTCCAAAAGGGCCTGAGGGTAGAGAAGAAGGCAGCAGATGGCGGACAGTGGTTGTAGGAGAGAAGGGTGTGCAAGGGCTGGTTTTCCAAGGACACTTGGAACTATTAAGGGGAACCTGGTCTACAGCCTCCTGGGTAGGGCACTGGCACTGAGTATATATGGATGAGGCTACGGAAAGGCCAGCAACTGTCAATTTTCTCCTCCCTGCCTCCAGAGGGGTGCTGCCACCTCCTCAGCCGCATGTCCCCAGAACACATGAACTGACAGTTTTATGCAAAATCCTTCTCTCCTCCTAAGAATACAGGCCAGGGGGGTTTGACTGTTGCTTTGCTACTTCAAGAGCCACAGGATATATGTCAAGTATATATCGATAAAAACAAATAATAATAATAAAAATCCTATTTCCCCCAAAAAGAGTTAGTGGATTCACTCAGATGATTAAGTAGAATTTCTGCCATCTGCAGATGCTATTTTGATTAAAAAAATAAATTATTATTACTTTTTTATTTTTAGAGGGGAAGGGAAGGAGAAAGTGGGAGAGAAACATCAGTGTGCGGTTGCCTCTTACGCGGACCCCACTGGGGACCCGGCCTGCAACCCAGGCATGTGCCCTGACTGGGAATCGAACTGCGACCCTTTGTTTCACAGCCTGTGCTCAATCCACTGAGCCACACCAGCCAGGGCTGCTATTTTGAATTTTTAAAGATGGCTTACTAGTAGTTATGACCACAATTTGTATTATTTTTGCTGCAATGCACCACTAAAATAGATCTCAACATCTGATGCATTCTTCCTGTACCAAGGGCTTCTTGTTTTATTTTTTTTAGATATGTATATGCACAGTATATATAAATATAAATATATGCCATTCCTCTCTATCCTGGGCTGAGACTAGACTGACCACATAGAACCCTGGGCTGCTTCTGCCTCTCAGAAGACAGGGAACTGGAAGGCTGAGAGCCTCAGAAGGCTCCTGGCTGAGGGGGTTTGGATGAGCTGGTGTTTCTAACTCCTTAGCAAAGTGCACCTTCTCTGCAGTGTCTACTAGACTGCCAGGCCTGTGGCCCATCCTTTCTCCTCTGGAAAACAGGAAGTTGTCACCCGCTGTGTCAACAGTCTTTGGGAACAGGTAGCACTGGCTCACCTGTCCTAAGGGCCCACACTAGTCCTGGGTGTCCTGTTTCAAAGGGGCAGGCAGAGCAGAAAACCGGCCATGCACATGCTCTTCTGTGGTCCCAGCTAGCAGGCAATTTGGGTAGAGAGGCGGTTGCTGGGGCAGATAACTTCGTGCTAGATGCTAGGGCATTACCCCCTCTGGGACCCAGACGGTAGATAAAGTGGGCATTCTTTCATTGGGGAAAAACAACAACAAAAAGGAAATGCTTAAAAAAATTGATGCTTCTAAATTCTGAACTTAGGTGAAATTTTGAGAGCAAAGGAAAGGACTCTGATCAGCCACAGCTGAGCTTCACTGGGAGGGCTGGGAGCAGGAAGGCTGGGTTTCACGTAACCTTGACTATGTACTCTGTATGAATTAGTAAAATGGAAATAACAGTGTCCTGCTATCCACAGCTCAAAAAGATGAGCTATGTGCGAATGAAGAAAGACACAAGTGGGGGAGTTAGCAAAATGCCTTTGGGCCTCCCCAAATTGAGAGCATTTCAAAGCTCTTGTTTGAGCCTTAGTCACTTAATTCTTTTAATTTAGCCACTGTAAGGTATCACACATTGAATAAAGAAAGATCCTCCTCTAACTATGCAATGTGAGCTGGATAACTGTCACTTAGAAGATAAAGCAGCTCCCATCCACCTTCCGAGGCCTGGGCTGCTGCTTCCCAGTGTCCACCACGAGGCACAGGGCTGCGGCCCCCAAAACATTTTTGTCTTCTTAATAGACCACCACAGACCCATTTCGCTAGTGACATTTTATAGAACTTACATTTCCAATCTATTTTCATTGTCCCCCCCACCCCACTCTATCCCAGTCCCTTCATTCCAAAGGGAGGGACACAGAAACATTTTTAATCCGCTGATGTTCTAAAAGGAGCTTGGGGCCTTCAAGAAGGGCCTGGGGACCCCCTGTCTCTGCTGCACAGAAGGCTGAGGTTTTAAGTTGATGCCCTTGTTGAAAAGTCCAACATTTTAGGCGGCTCTGTTGCACTGAATGGGGGAAAATATCTGGTATGTTTGATAGGTAAGGTTTATTAAAACCCATTGAGTAAATATTTCCTTTTCTTAAAGTTCTGACAGGCAGCAAGCAGATCAGGGTGTGTATTCCAGGTTGAGCAGAAGGTGGGAAGGAGCACAAGTCACTTCACCTTCTCTGAGCCTGGGTGACTTCCTCTGCAGGAATGAAGTGTCAACATGGACTCGGGTGGCTGCGAGGCCCAGAGCCAGTAATGTATGTGAAAGTGCAGGCGCAGGGCCAGGGACGCGCCACACCACAGCTCCTTCCCTTCCCCTCCCTGGGGCCAGTACACAGAGACCAGAGGAAATGCGTCTGACTCACGGCAGGACGAAGTGCAGAACCCAGGCCTCTCCCTCACCTCCAAACTCCACACACTCGGGTCACACACTTCAGCTTTTAAAAATACTTAGAAAATCAGCAAGTGAAATCCATTTTAGTGCAAAACTGGTAGACGTGCCTTCAGTTTTAATGTCTGTTGGGGAGCTAGATGAAGTGGAAAAACCTTTTAAGAAAAGGAACATTTTGTGGCATTCTGTACTCTTCTACTACAAGTGAAACCTTGATAATGACAAAATTCAATGAATTTGCTTTTTCCTACTTAATCAAGAGTGAAAACAAGTACAACTTGCAAATACGCAAAAGCCCATCTAGGATAAAAAGAAGTGCTTCTCAGTCCTTCCGTTTCAACCACTTGATCTGACCACCTGGGGTGGGCGGGTGGGGTCTGAGGTGTCATTAGAGACAACTGCTCTGAATAGCCAGAAAGTAATAAAACTCAGCTTGTAGTAAACAGGATGTCAAAGGTTCAAGCGCGGGGCATCAGGAAGGACGAAGCTTTCCAGTCTGGGCAAAGCCGCTAGAAGCTGATGAGGCACAGCAGACACAACAGTCTTCCCATGTGAAGGAGGACTGCCTACCCGAAGAAATAAAATACAGTGAAACACCGAAACACAATCCAACTAACAGCCCTTTTCAACTGGGCTCTAGGAGAGAATTCAGATGCAAACAAAATGATTAAATAAATCCTCTTCTCCATTCTGCCAAGGACGGTACACAGTCAGTACCATTCTAGGTGCACAGGACAAGTAACCTAATTATATAAGGATGGACGCTAGGTGCTAGGATCCATCCTTATATGGACTCTCTAAGGTGAAAGGGCTAAATTGGGTACAGTTGGTTGAGAAGGGGTGCCCAAATCCAAAAACAATACTCAGGTGATAGGAACCCTAGAGGGTGGGGAAAAAGTCACACCTGGTGTGTGTAGGGTGGTGGGCCCGGCTGCAGTCAAGCTTCGCGTTGCAGCTTGGGAACCACTAGACGGCCAAACTTGCTGAGCAGGCACCAGGTCTGCCACATGAATGCGCCACACGGGCACCAGGCTCGTATCTACTCTCTCATCTCTCCTCTTTCCAGTCTGGGTCCACAAGACCCCTAAAATAGAACTCTTATATTTGGTGGTGGTTTAAAAAAAAAAGGACAGCTGAGAGACCCTGAATATAATTATTCAGCAGAAAAAAGTAGCCATGGTGAGCTGGAGAGGCTGGGAGACTGCGTCCACTGCTGCTCCTCTATGAACTACTGTGAGGTCTTAGACGAGTGACCTGACTCATGGATTAGGACTCAAAAGCCTTTCAAATTCCAAGACCTATACTTCTAAAGAGTTGGCTGGTTTAAGGTCCCCTCGCCACCCAGCAAGGCAAATATCCAGCTAAGTCTTATCCTAACATGCCGTTATGTCCACAGTGGACGTACTGCTTCCTGACACCAGGCGGAGAATACCGAGGGCAGAAGGGCACCTACACCAACTGAAGTCAACCCCTGCCACGTCTCTTGAATCTCTGAACCCCCAGCAGGAAGGTCGGGACAAGCGGCTGTAACTAAGGTACCTGTCTCAATCCTTCCATCTCCCTTGACCTCTCGCCTCCCCTCTGAGAAAACCCCTCTTATTCTTTTAAAAGATCAATACGTGTACATATATCACTTGATATCTCAAACAGCAGTCCTGCCCCTCTCCATCTGAGCTTCTCCCTCCTCGGAGGAATAAGAACTCTTGTGGCTCCTCTTGTATTTGTCTCCATTTTTTTCAATCCCATGGAGTTTATACTATTTCCTGATTTGCAGATTTAGATGTTATGTAAGGACTGCTTATTATGGAAGATGAAGATTTAGCTACTTTATACACTTTCAAGTATTTTTCTAGGAAGCAACTATTTCCCTAATCCCCCAGCTTTAGAGCCAGAATCCAGCCACTCAGCACAAGGACAGCTGAAGCACCCACAGCACTTGACCGGACTCTGGGCCCGCCCGCTCCGGAGCGCACATGCACTGCAGATGCGCTCTCCCGAGGTCGCACTGAAGGACCCGCGTCTGTCTGTGACGTTGGTTCCTACAACATCTCATCAACGTTATAATGAAATGACATCGACTGAAATGACATTACTCAAGGACCTATTGTATTGGGGGTTCAGGTCACCCTTTTATTGGGCATTGACAGAGCAAAGCCTTATAGGCTTGCAGAGACTGGAATGATAAATAACCTGCTTCTACTTGGAGGAAGATCCATTCACTCAGCAAGTTAAGACAGGAAAGCCAAAAAAGGGGCAGGCTCTCCAGTGGCCAGAGAGAGATAAACGACAGATTTTAACAAGAGACAACAATCACAAGTGGTCAAGGGAGAAATATGAGGACACACGAGTGGGTAAACGGCCCGAACTTACAAAGTCGGAACGGCTGCTAATCGGGAGTCTCGCAGTAGTTCTGGCAGGATGCATAGCAGCCTGGTGGCAGTAAAATGGAATGGAGGTACCATGGGCACTGGCAACAGGTGCCTGGTCAGGGCAGGTGTGCACACATGTGTGCACTGTGACACGGCATAACTCCGAGGCACTGCAACATGGCTGTCCTGTCCTGAGAAGGCAGGCAGACAAGCTGTTTGGGGGGACACCTGTCGGGGCTGGGAAGTGTGAGCAGCAGCAGCCGTGCCTGGTGGGCACCCAGGCCAGAAAACTACTCCATGGGGAGCTGGGCGCCCCTTCCTCCGCTGCATTCCCTAGCGCAGGATGTGCGTCAGGGTCCCGTCCACAACATCCTGCTTCCTTCCTAAGCCCAAGGAACCCCCTGAACCAGGGAAACCCAAGCTCCGCCAGCAGAAACGGAAGATGCACCCCTAGCTCCTCGGTGGCACCTCCACGGGTCTTTCCACATGCTTGCTGTTCTCCTAACCCCAGTCCGTCTTACACTCTTCCAGTGACAAATGTGTGCCAAGTTCTAAACGTCTGTCTTAGCAGTAAAAGCGTTTGAAGGCAGCACACCGTGGGCAGCTGTGGACTATACAGGAGCTGACACAGCTGCTCATTTCCTTGGCTCCAGCTTTCAGACATCTCATTTAGGCGCAGTCTACCGACAGGGAGCTCATGAACAAACGGGAAACACGGTGTGTCGGCCCGATGACCCGCCCATCACTGCATGGGATGTCTTCCCAACGGTCGATGGCCTGATGACTGGGGCTGTCTTGAGGAGGGAGGGCCTATTACTAACAGTCCCTTATTTGTAAACAAATGGATTGAAGGCAACGGGCCATATACATCAGGACTACATAGAACGCAATTAGGTGAAGCTCCTTTTCCAGTGAGTTCCAAGCGTCTGGAAGCAGCAGGCATGTTTCTGCACTTCCTTCCAGGCATTTGGCATGACTCTGGAGCAGATGCTTATCCCCTGTGGATTAAAGGGCAAAACCAGGAGGGATGCTGGCTTCCATCACCCCTCCGCCTCTTGCCCTCTCCCAATTCTATAAATCACTTCTGGCAGGTAGCTGGGAAGCAGCTGCGAGTGACAGTTTTGCTCTGGAGCACAGGAAGCCACCTTTTAACCCGCCTGCTGTTGTTTGTCTCTCAAAATGTGACAAAGGAACAGATGTAAGCAGCACGCCAACTGTTGAGAGGATCTGCTCGGAGCACGATGGGAAGCCTGTTCAGAGCCACATCACACCAGCCGCTCCATGGAAGGACAGCCAAGTCATTTCCTGAAACCCCTCGCCCACCCTGGTCCCGGCAGGTCGGGACCCTCAACACTCGGGCAACTCTCACACACGTCTCTGCGGTTCCCAGCGGGCAGCCACTTGCTGAACCCCATGCACATGACACAGATCCAGTGCAGACTCACCTCCTAGTAGTCTTCTCCAACCCCCATCCCTCCCCCTGTTAGGGACTCTGGTTCACAGTCCTCTGCAGTCTGTGCCAGTCTCTAAGCCTTTCACAGCCAATCTCATCTCTGTCCAAACTACCCTGTTATCTAGCACTAGGGCTGGAGCTATGGCTTACACACCTCTGTGTTCCCCAAGTAGTGTTTCAAACCACTAGCCGCATGATGAGTCTACTGAAAATCAAGCTTAAAGGGTTGCAACCAATATCTTAAAATATGAAATAAAAACTAGCTTATAAGTGGTACTCTTGGAACAACTGAGAAACAATTGGGGAACTACTGATGATATCAGATTCCTATTAGTTTTCTTAGGTGCAGTAATGGTGCTGTGTTTGCATAAGAGGATGCTTTACTTTTAGGAGGTGGGTGCTGGATCGATGAGAGGTGCCTCACTTACAACTGATCCGCACAAAGGTATGTGTGTGCACACCCACGTCTGTAAGCACACCCACATGCACACAGCGAACGGGGCAAAGTGCTCCAACTGCTGACACAGTGTTCCCTGTACTATTCTTCAAATTTTCCTATGTGCTTGGAAAGTCTCATAATTAAAAGTAGAAAAAATGAAAAAGAATAGAAAAAACAATAATGCAGAGCATGAAGTACAACCTGGTTTCTGGTGTCTCTGGATGTGTATGTGCCCTAGGTTCCAACATAAATGTATTTCATACCGTAGGTCAAGGCCAAGAGTTTGAAAATGCTGCCCTCACCACAGCAGGCACACAGCAGGTGTGCAATGGACTATTTGTTAATTAACTTCTAGAAGTCCAGGACTTAAAAGAAGAAGCAAGCTGAGAAATTGTGTTTCCAGTTATATCCCATTAACTCAAGCTGTGTCAAAATATCCAAGCCCTTTCCTGCCTTAGCGCAGCCGGGCCCAACCTCACTCAGCCTTCAGGCCTCTCTTATCGGGTGTTTAATACTCATCAGCCAGGCTACTCTGGCTTTCTCCTGCGGTGGCTGCAGAGGCGGTTGCACTGAAGACTCTCGGTAGGGTGACCAGTTGTCCTTATTTGCCTGGGACTGAAGTGTTTTGCAAGACTAGGGACTTTCAGCATTAAGACTGGGACAGTCCAGGCAAACCAGATAGCTGTTCACTGTAGATCTGAGGGAAGACCACCAGAGAACCTGGGACAGGTCCGGGAGATATGACGTCACGTGGTGATGTTACCACCGCAACAGGAAAAACGAAGGTAAACCCAGCACAGAAAAACCTGTGACAGAGAAAGTCCTCTCTGACGGCACCCCAACAGCACAGCAGATGCCAAGCTGCAGTGTCTCTCACGCCCTTCAACAGAACCTCCCCTAGTCATTCCCTACTAACCTGGAAAGCAAAGGACAGAGAACTTACTGTGAAAACGTCGTCATCCCCAAGCTCAGCTTCATTGTGGATGGTGGAAGATGACGTGGTTGAGCCTGAAATGACAAAAAACGTCGTAGTGAGTGTTTTTCGCAGAGGATAAGCCAAACCCAACCTTTTAAAGGGTGTATGTGAATAAAACCACATTCCATTCCTTTCATATTTGGATCACTAGCAGAAATATGCTACCTGGGAATTAACGCTTTTAATTTACTCTTCTTTCATTGATTCTTGCCTGGATGCTCCCTAAATGAACTCTGCAGACGGCTGTTCCCAGTGAACCCCTCAAATTCTGCACCAGCTACTAGACAACAAGCACAAAGAGAGGCAACGCAGGGAGGAGGTGCGAGGAGAGCTGCCCACTGCTTGGGGGTACATGGTCAAGGTCAGCCCCGGCTGGCAACCCCCCAGGTCCCCACTGTGTACAGTAGGCAAAGCACGGAGTGGAGAACCCCCAGGTTAGACCCACCATCACCTCGCTGTGTAAACTGGACTGGGCTTTCTGGTCTTTTCATGGACCAAGGGGGGCGTTTGGAGCATGGTGACCTCCTGTTCTGAAATTCAGACACTGCACTCTGAAAACCGGGCCGTGGGAGCCACCCTCTCAGCAGACACTAGGGCAACCTGTTCTCTCTGGCGATCCTAGAGCATCAGTGAGTCTGCTCTTTCTGCAGGCTGAAACCCTGGTTCACTCCATCGTGGAGTGAACGGGTCCTTCAGGGTTCACTGTATTTACTTTTTCATCTCTTTCTTCACTCTGGTACACTGACCAGTAAAACCTCCCCCGGCCCCTGTTAATAGTACCTATTGGCTCAACAAAGGACAGTTAATGTCCAAAAGGAAAAGTATTGAAATTTGCATAAGTGATAGATACACCAAAAGAACTTATTCTCCATCTTCTCCTTTTCTTGGTTAGGTCTTAAACAATTGCTCAGAAAGGGAAGAAGAATATTTACATTTCCACTGAGTCACAGGAGGAAGAGTAAGTCCCACAATACCCTCTGTGTGGTTCCTATTGCTCTTTCAGGACTTTTCTCTACTGTTTGAATTATTTTAGTCAATCGCTGCTTAAGGCCAGTTTGATAGAATACAGCTGGGTAGAGTATATAGAAAAAAACTGCAAGTAATCCATTTTGTTTGTAGATTCAGTAACTAAGTATACTGACACTCTGCAAACTGCTATCAGTAATATAGGAGCTATTTTCTCTCTAAACATTTCAAAGCTATGTTTAACACTCTACCCATTAGTTACTTATGTAAGACCAATGACGTAAACAGTCATTTTCACAGGTTGTCACGTGGTTGTAGTTTACAGATTCGTGTTCTGGCTACAATTGTCCTACTACTGATGCCAGGCAGTTTTTCATTGAAGATTTGCTTTTCTCTCTTCCCACAAATCCACAATGAATAAAATGACTTCCTAATATGTTTATTTCTTAAACAGATGAAACATACACTCTTTTATGACTAAATTTATATAATATTATATAATCAGTTAATTCCGAGCTTGGCTCTTTGCTGGACACCTCTTTCTTCTTTACATGGCTGTGGTGCCATCACCCCTGTGATCTGATAGTTGGACGTGTTTAAGAGGAGAACTTCCGTGTTTGCGTCTCTGGACTCCATAAAAAGCCTATGAGATCTGACGGCCTAAGAGCCTCCCAGGCCAGGATCAAACACAACACAGTGTCTACTGACCACTCACCAGAGACCAAGGCCCAAACCAAACCAGGGCTCCAGGAGTCCCAGAGCACTTTCCCGGTCAGTGGCAGCTGTACCCTGGGCTCTGATCACTAAAGGACAGTATACCTGGGGCCGTCTGGGCCCACTGGAGTCCGGTCTCCACTTCTGAGCCGAGACAGGCCAGACCAAAGCTGTTTCAGTAGTCAGGGAAAAGTGGATTCCATCAAAAACTCATTCACGTGCAAGGCTAGAACTTGTCTTTCCAGAGTAAAGTCTAAAAACTGATTGGGACCAATCCTTACTCTGAAACCCACCTTCTTTCCCCCTGTATTCTCCACTTTATAATTGTTATCCTGGCTGTTCCTAAAGTTTTGGCATCTACTGACCAGGCCCCCACAAAACGCCTGCATACAGACTACAATTATATGATGGTGGACAATGGGAATTAACAAGAACGCAGCAGCAAATTCAGTACCTTCTATGAGGTCTTCAATTGCTTTCCGCACTCCCCTGTCAAAGGCTCGAGCGTCAGCAGGACTTTGAAAAGTAAGCCCGAACTTCCTATTGTCGACCTTCCAGTGATGAAAGGTTGGGTTGGCTTTGGTGTAGACCAAGTCCTTTCTCACATAGCACTCCAGCACCACCTGAAGGGTTGAAACACACAGGCTGGTTACTTGTGAAACAGTCACGATGGAGTCTGGTTACAAAGATCTAATTAGGAACCATCCATCACTGGTGGCGGCAACTAATGAAAACCCTCCACCCCTGCCATCTCTATCTGTCAGTCCATCTTGAAAGGCCTCTGCTTGCCTCTGAGGACCAGCCACTCTTTGCTGATTCATCATCCAACCCCACCCCATCCCCTTGCCTCTGGTGGTCCCCGCTGTACTGTGATACTCCTTAACCATGCTCTCCCTCTCTCTCCTTCTTCTTCCACACCCCCTGCCTGGGGGACACTAAGCTGAGGCCCAGGTCTTGGCACTTTGCTCTGTTCCAGGGTTACTGCTTCTACGCCAGGGCCTTTGCATTAGTGGTTCTCAACCTTCCCTCCTCTGACCTGATGGGTGTTTTCCAGTGACCTCAAATTCAACATGTTGAAAAATGAACTTAATCTGCTCTGAAATTTCTGCCACTAATTTCCTCTCCCAACTTCCTCCTATCTAGCAATGCCAATCCCTCTCTGTTCATTCTGTTTGGTTCAAAATCTCCATAACTATCTTAGCCTCTTCTGCTTTCTCTACCCCTGTATTATTAATCACTAAGTCTGTTTCATTTCCCCTTCAATTTCTTTTATGTCAATCCATTTCAGTTGCTACTACCCTGATCTGGATGTCTATTATCCCTGTATCTGAGCTAAAACTTTGAGCAGATTGTGTCTCAGACCCTCAGTCTTTTATCTCTAAAATAGAAATAACACTAACATTTATCAATGAGAACACATGCATGAACATGCTCTGAAAACACTGAATGAAGAGAAACTTAACAGGGTCACACTCATTTTTCAGTATATTTGTACCATGAAGTTTTACTTTTATTTATTCCCATTCTTGGCATCTTCACAATTTAGTACTAGATTTCACGTTATTCTCTAACATTGCTTGTGCCTTAGTCTTATTCCGCTAACTAGACTGTAAAAGATCAAGAAGTAATATAAAACACCTCTATGTCTAGCACAGTGTTATTGTTGATAGAGATTCCAGAGTATAATGTTACAGTATATAAGAAGCATTGCAATCACGTGAATGTAAATTCCATTCTTTATTCACACACACACACACACAAAAACCCACCTCTAAAATATCAACAATATTTATTCCTATGGACCCCAAAACAATTTTGCTAAGTGTTAATGGCTTTGATCTTGTTCTGGCAAAGCTCTTCATGTAACAAAATGAAATCTTACTAAGTGAAGGGGAAGAGTAAAGGCCTGCCTGAATTAGTATAAATTCAAACCAGCAAATATTTTTAAATGACTACAGGTTTCAAAGACACATCTGGCACACAGAAATGAAGCGCTGCCTTCTACAGGTCCCCTGACTTATACAAATGAGATCCACCAGCAAACAGTGAATCACGCAGCAGTCCCAGGCAGTTAATTTCATTACCCTGAATTGAAAAAAGAACTTCATTACCCTGAATTGAAAGAAGACAACAGTCCCTTCACACAGTTCTATTTATGATTAAGTTGCTTATTATGGCCATTTCCCCCTAAGAATAGTGCAATGGCTAAATGTCAGCCCGGCCCCATTCCAAACTGAGGAAATCCAAATAACCCAGGCTTTAACTAACAAATGTTATCTATTTTAGAATTTAATAGTCTCAATTCAAAGTCTCGAAATAAACTCTTTGTAAAAACAAAGACTTCATTTTCCCATATTTTTAGGGTGAAAAAAATTAGTCTTCATTTGACGTTTTCCAAGTTCAAGATTATTATAACAGTACTTTTTTTTTTTACAGAAGTTTAATAAATTCATAGAAAAGTAAGTGTAGCCACCTAAGTTCAGTGAGGGGGAGGGGATCAGAAACCATCTCTCTATGTCCTCTTCAGAAAAATAACATCATTACATATTTTAGTTTAATGGTAAAAATAAAAAAGTTCAGAAGCTTTAATCTTACCAACAGGTATAAACTATCCAGTGAAATTTTGGCACTAACTTAAAACTTGAAAGGCTTTAAAATATCTATTTAAATGAGATGCATGGGGAGGAAAAAAGTAATTGTATATTTTTGTTGGAAGCTTTAAAAAACCTACACAGGAAATACAAGTTGTAAAAGAGTTTAAGTAATTTCAGCGAATTATATGAAGGCTTCATTCTTACTCATCTTCCCCTCCCCACGCTCCCTGCCTGTCCGTTTCCAGAGTTACCCACTGTCAGTGTGGCGGACGCAACCCCACTGCCCTTTTGGTGGCCTGAGTACCTCAGTTTACGTGTAACTGTGTTTAATGTGGCCACACCTACAAATTACCACTTGTCTCTTATTTTCCTTAAAAGCATGTCTGAAGAGATACAGGCAGTTAAAAGTTATTCTCTTTAATAGCTCCTAATATTCCTTAGTATGAATGTGTTAGAATTAGTCAGCCATTCTCCCCACTAATGGGATTTTTAGGTTCTTTCTAACTGGTCACTTTTACAGACAGCGCTGGAATGAACACCCTTATACAGGTGCTCAAAGTGTAGCCTGTGGCTCTTGGGAGCCCTGCAGCCGCATGCCCCTGCTGTGCAGGGGTTCCAGGACGGCACAAATGTTTTCATACAGGACTTTTTTTTATTGCCTTTTCATCGTTTTGTCATTTCTCCTAAAGGTGCGAAAGGACCAGCGGGTAAAGCTGTTGTGCCGTGGCACCAACCTGCACCAAAGTCATCGCATTCGTCACTGTTTCATGGTCAAAATAAAAAAGGCCAGTTTCACGTAGGATTGATCTTGAAGAAGCCATTAAAAATGATTAAATCTTGACCCTTGAATGCACGTCTTTTATTCTGTGATGAAACGGCAGTGCACATAGTTGCCCTGCCACTATGAGAGATGAGAGGGGTGCTCATCTCTGTTTCCACTGCCAGTTGCTGCGACATGTTGCTCTGGCTAAAGTGCAGGCAGCGACTCTGGCTTTGCACAGTCACGGATGGGAAAGGGAGGAGGGTTTCTAACAGCCTTTTTACTCCGGCCGCGTGGGGAGGAATGACGACTGTCTCAAGAAAGGCGCTTGTGCAATTATTTCAGCTGTGAGCTGAACTCTCCGCTTTTTTCATGGACTCACTTAACAGACACACTGACAGACCCACTGTGGTTATTCGGACTGTGTATCTGGCAGATATTTTCTTGACTATGGACACAGTGAGCCTGTCACTTCGAGGAGAATGAACGGAGGTTATTTGTGGCCAATAATAAAATTTGAACTCTCAAAGTGAAAGAACTGTGGACAGCTTCCCAATGCTTAAAGATTCTTCTAATGAGATTAGTGGTAATATTAAGAAATGTGATTTTTTGTTACTGTAGAGTTACATGTGTCAACGTTGGAAAGATCTGCTTAAATCAGTAAACCATTATTTTCCAAATGACCAGTGCATGAGGCTACGAAATCAGGAATGAGGAAAAGACCCCACTGAAGATAAGCCAGTGGCTTTCAATATAAGAATGTGAAACATTCATCAGTATGGTTTCAGATCCCAGTCATAGATAAAACTATAAGCCAAGTGGTTGGTGCAGTATCAAAAAGTGTATCTGCAGTGGTCTGGAAGGGTATTACTCCCTCCTCCAACTATGTACCTGTGTGAGGCTGGATTCTCCTCAAATACTCCAACCAAAACACATTGCAATAGACTGAAAGCAGGAATACACATCAGAATCCAGTTATTTTCTGTTATGTCTGGTATTCGAGATTTGCGAAAACATAAAACGACACTAAGTCTTCTAATTTTACTATGGAAAATAGTTATATAGTTATTTCTTATAAAGAATGTCATATATGCAAAAACTACTATTCAAGATTTGAAATTTTTTTCCACTTGAATTTCTAACATGATAAATATCAGTAGCTAAGTAGCTATAACTCACAAAGACAAAATCAGTCACTGTTCAGTGTACAGGGAGCTGGAGACCAAACTCGGTGGAGAACGGCTGCTGCCACAGACCGTGGCAGGCGATCCTTTTTATAGGGGTTCCGATGTGGAACCGCCAGGTAAAAGGGGTGCCCACTTAACGGCAGTCAGGATCCTGCCAGACTGCCTTTCAAAGAGCTTTGCCGGCTGGAACTCCCACCAAACATGCGTGAGAGCTCAGGCCCTGCTCACAGCGACGATGGGATGACCGGCCTTTGAGATCATGTGGATCATCTTCCTAAGGTGGTTCTTGCAGGGCCCATTTCAGGAGTACACTCCTCTAATCCATCTAAAACAAGGTGGAACTCAGAAATTTTTTTTAAAAAAAAAGAAAGTGTATTTTATTGTATTTCTTCCATTATAATTCATCCCCGTCAACCTCTTCCACCTCTACCCTGAATGCAGAAATTTAAAATTTGCTTATCATTGCTCAGAAAAACTCGACTGTCCCCAATTCACAAAAGATCATCCAAATAGCAACTTGTGAATTGATGTCTGGAACCTTCCCACAGGAACAATGGCAGTCAAGTTCACAGGCCTCCACAAATAATTCACACAGCAAAAACTGATGCTTGAATTCTAGGACTGACCACATGGGGAGAACTGTGGACCACACGGTTTCTACCTGAAAATGCACGCTGCGTCCCAGCTGGAATCCTGGCAGCTCAGACACCATCCACCCACTGCGTTCCAGAACCGATCTCCACTCTCTCCTCGAACACCCACCACTTAGGCAGGGGTTCCACGTGGGCTCACATTCCCCAGTGGGTGGGAGTGCTACACTATGCAAGCTTGGAGGCCAAAGAAGAGTCACCATGTCTCCAAGGGTGTGCGCGCACGTGTGGTGGGGCAGGGCAGAGAGAGGGAGCTAAGTGGCAGAGTCCAGGGACTCCCGGGGAGTCCAGGATTTCCCAGGTGTGACATAAGGAAGGCAGGGGCAGAAAGATGGAGAAGCACAGCTGGGGGCGTGATTTAAGTACCAGTGGATATGATATAAAAGTTCAAGAGCGTCACTGCAAAGGGGTCAGGAAGAGGACGGAGTGATGGGAAAACATGATGGGCAGAGAGAGAAGCACACAATCATTTCACAACAGCATCGGACAACAGAAGCTGGTCCACAACCAGGACTGCCCTGTCACTGGGCAGAGTTGGTATGAAGGGACCGGGTGTTGGCTTCACAGTGAAATGGTTCCCAAAGCTGGCTCTGCTAAGGACGGGTGCCCCAGACAGGGGAAATGGATCACTTCCTATAGCACCGAGGCTCCCAACTACGAAGGACATAACAGTATTTTCCCACTACAGAATGTTGCAGGAATTTAACATAAGTTATTTAGATAAAGGGCCTTGAACAAACTGGCAAAAGTTAATATAAAAGTTTAAATATTTATAAAATAAAGGAGCTGCATGAGATAATCTAAAGGCCATTTTGGGCTGGCATAGTCTACGACAAACCACAGAAATACCAGGGAAAAAAGATATAACCATTCAGGTAAGATAATTTGCTAACAAAAAGTAGCAAGCCCTGTTGTTACAAGCCCTGGCTGGTGTGGCTCAGTTGCTTGGAGCGTTGGTTGTACTTTAAACCAAAAAGTTTCAGGTTTGATTCCCAGTCAGGACACACGCTTGGGTTGAAGGTTCCATCCCTGGTAGGGACACATCAAAAAGCAATAAATTGATGTTTCTTTCTCACATCAGTGTTCATCTTTCTCTCTCCCCTTCCCTTTTCCACTCTTTAACATCAACGAGCATGTCCTCAGGTGAGGATAAAAGGGGAAAAAAAAGTAGTAACTTTAAAAAGGGGAAAATTTTTTTCTAAAGTATTTTGGAAAAAATCAACAAAAATAAAAAGGCAAGGAAAAGACTATAAAAGTATTTGTAGCAAATATGGCAGATGGAGATTAATATCCTTGTTATACAAGAAGGCACACAAAGGAGAAAAGATCTCAATAGGTATATGAAGGACATTAATAGATAATTTAGTTGCCACTGTTTACCAAGCAGAAAAACATGTGATCTCATTGGTAATCGACAACATACGATCTACAATAACAATAACTGATACTCTACTGAATTGGTAAAGATATAATTGGTAAAGATATAAAGTAACTGATCTTCACTGTATGAAAGGAAATTCTCATATATGCTGGTAGCTGCTCTTTGAACAATAATCAGAAGTCATAAAAATCTGACCCTCAAATTATTCCAAGAGAATAATTTATGTGAAATATACAGGTAGGCATACAAATGCAGACAGCCCCTGACCGCTGTGGCTGGGTGGACTGGGCATCTCCCTGCAAACCGAGGCGTTGCCAGTTCGATTCCTGGTCAGGGCATGTATCTGGGTCCCCGGCCAGGTCCCTGGCTGTGGGTGTGTGGGAGGTAGCCAATCTTTGTTTCTCTCACACATCGACATTTTCCTCCCTCTCCTCCCTCCCTTCTCCTTTCTCTAAAAGTAAACAAATAAAAAATCTTTAAAAAAAAAAACAAAACCAACTGCAGATAGGTGATACTGGGGGGGGCGGGGGCGGGTGTAGAACCTTAATTAACACCTGACACTAAGGAGATGCTCAAATAAACAGAAACTGTCAATCAACCCGATAACAGCAACATGGAAAACTGCTTCCAGGAATGTTAGGGCAAACCCAATGAGCCCCAGAACTGTTTATGAGCTCTGATTGTAGGTATGTAAAAACAAAAATGTGCACAGGGAGGGAAAACTACATCAGAGAGCAAAGAGGGGCTGCACACATGCGACCCCGGTTCACTTCTGTGGTCCGAGTCACAGGGTATCAAACACCGGTTCCACACTCCCAGGACGAGCCACCAAGAACAAGGAGTCCTGCTGCGCCTTGGCCTCCTCAGGTCACTCTGCAGGCTGCTGTCGGGACACCGTGTTCCGACCTAACCAAAGGGCTACCACACGGTCAGTGCTGGGTAGAGGAGAGTTACTTCATCTAATATTGGTGTGTGGTCACACTGCCTTTATGGTGAGTATCTTATAAAGAAGAATGTTTAATTATCTGACTATTACGTAAGAGATTTCTTAAATAGACACACCTCTTAAAATGACCCGCATTCTGTTTCCATTTTCATTAATTTCCTTTTCAGAAATGAATCCAGTGTGAAAACAGTGCATGTGTTCATTCATATATAACATTTATAAATTGTTCTGTCTTATCTATTTTGTAACTTTTTAAAACAGTATTTGTACCCTTAGCACACAAAACTCACCAGGTGCCACTGCTGAGGGTCTCAGAGGTGACACTGACACACTCCTGCGGTGTCTTTATAAACAGATTCAGACACTCAAATTTCCCTCGTATCACAGATTCCTTCAAAACACAGAACTGGACATTCAAGTTCCTTCGGCCACTGAATGGACCATCCAGGCCCCCAGCACTGGGAGGTCACGATTCCACTCTGAGGCGTGTCGTTTTAAGCACTTACAAATCTACCGCAGAAGTGCGATGCCGCTGCTTTTCATTACTTTCCCCAAACGTGTTTCATTCATTACGCTATGAAAGAAAAGCTACAGTACCTTGAAGATGAACATCTACTTGGAAGTAACCAAATATCAGATGACACTTTTTCTCTCCACTTTACCTTTCACCCCGTCTTTTTAAAACCTCTGACCCCACAGCTCACTACCACCTGACTCATGGAAAGAACACCCTTCTGTTTTGAGTGCCTTGTTACAGCGGCAGAAAGGCAGCTCACTGAGTCAAAGGTGCAGACGAGACAGCCCCCTGTGTGACTTCTCAGCGCCCGAGCTGCGCGGTGCACAGTGGCTGTGCTGCAAAGCTGGGGCTGCGCTCTCCAACGGGCGCCGC